TTTGGCTAAGTCTATTCCTAGGTATCTTAATTTTTTTTGCTGTGATGGTAAATGGGATTTTTTTTTTAGATTCTCTTTCTGTGAGTTCATAATTGGTGTATAAAAATGCCATTGATTTCTTGATGTTAATTTTGTATTCTGCTAATTTGCAAATTCATTTATTAAGTCTAGTAGATTTTTGATGGAGTCTTTAGGGTTTTCTGTGTACAATATCATGTCATATGCAAATAATGAAAGTTTCACTTCCTCATTTTCAATTAGGATCCCCTTTATTTTTCCTTCATGTCTAATCGCTGTGGCTAAGACCTCCAGTACTATGTTAAAGAAGAGTGGTGAATGTGGGCATGCATCCCTGTATTGTTCTCGTTCTTAAGGAAAATGTTTTTAGTTTTTTCCCATTGAGTATGATGTTGGCTGTATGTCCTTCATATGTGGCCTTTATTATATTGAGATATGATCCCTCTATTCCCAGATTGCTGAGCATGCTTATCAGAAATGGGTGCTGAATTTTGTCAAATGCTTTTTCAGCATCTATTGACATGATCATGTGATTTAATTGATTTGCGAATATCACATCATCCTTGGATGTCTGGAATGGTCATGATGAATAATTTTTTGATGTATTGCTGGATCTGATTTGCTAGTATTTTGTTAAGGATTTTGGCATCTGTGTTCATTAGGAATATTGGTCTATAGTTATTTTTTTTCTTTGTAGTATGTTTGTTCATAGTATGTTTCGATGATTCTTTGTATTTTTGTGGTGTCAGTTGTTTCTTTTCCTCTTTTGTTTCTGATTTTGTTTATTTGGTTTCTCTCTGTTTCTTGGTGAGTCTGGCTAAAGGTTCATTGATTTTGTTTATCTTTTCAAAGAACCAGCTTTTTGTTTAATTGATATTTTGAATTTTTTTTCTGTCTCTATGTTGTTTATTTCTGCTCTGACCTTTATTATTTCCTTCCTCCTACTAGCTGTGGGTTTTTATTTTTGTTTACTTTCTAGTTCTGTAAGTAGTAGGGTTAGAAAGTCAATTAGGAATTTTTCTTGTTTCTTGAGGTAGGCCTATAGTGCTATGAACTTCCCTCTCAGAACTACTTTCATTATGTCCCATAGATTTTGTGTTGTTGTGTGTTCATTTTAATTGGTTTCCAGGAAGTTTTTAATTTCTTCCTGGATCTCATTAGTAACCCATTCGTTGTTTAATAACATGCTATTTAGCCTCCAAGTGTTTGACTGTTTTTGTGTTTTTTTTTTTATTGTAATTGAGTTCTAGTTTCATGCTACTGTGATCTGAGAAGATGCTTGATATGATTTCAATTTTCTTGAATTTATGGACACTTGCTTTGTTTTCTAACATGTGGTCTATTTTTGAGAATGACCCATGTGTACTTGAGAAGAATATATATTCTGCAGCTTTGGGGTAAAATGTTCTGTAAATATCAATGAAATCCAATGGATCTAGTTTGTCTTGTAAGGATTCTATGTCCTTGTCAATTTTTTGTGTAGAAGATCTATTTAGTGGTGTTAGTGGCGTGTTGAAGTCATCCACTATGATCATTTTGCTATTGATCTCACCCTTGAAGTCCTCCAGAAGTTTTTTAATATATTTTGGTGCTCTTGTATTTGGTGCGTATATGTTTACCAGGGTTATATCCTCTTGTTGGATCGATCCTTTTAATATTATGTAATGACCTTCTCTGTCTCTTATTATAGCCCTTGTTTTGAAGTCTATCTTGTCAGATATGAGTGTTGCTACACCAGCTTTTTTTTACATTTCCATTTGCTTGAAAAATTTTTTTCCATCCCTTCATTTTCATCCTGTGTCTTTTGTTGTGAGGTGGGTCTCTTGTAGACAGCATATATATGGGTCATGTTTTCTTATCCAATCAGCTCTTTTATGTTTTTTCATTGGAGCATTTAAGCCATTTACATTTAAGGTAATTATTAATAGGTAATTATTAGTTGTCATTTTAATTTTATTTCTGTGTTCTCTCTCTCTCTCTCTCTCTCTCTCTCTCTCTCTCTCTCTCTCTCTCTCTTTCTTCTTCTTACAACAGTCCCTTCAGCATTTCTTACAGTGCTGGTTTGGGGTGGTAAGGTGGTAAATTCCTTTGGCTTTATTTATTTATTTATTTATTTATTTATTTATTTTTTATCCATGAGGCTCTTTATTTCTCCTTCAATTTTGAATGATAGCCTTGCTAGATAGAGTAGTCTTGGATTCAGACCCTTGCCTTGCATTACTTTGTACACTTCATGCCACTCCCTTCTGGCCTGCATCATCTCTATTGAGAGATCAGCTGACATTCTAATGGGAGCTCACTTGTAGGTATCTTTCTGTCTCTCTTTTGCTTCCTTTAAGATTCTTTCTTTGTCTTTAATGTTTGCCATTTTTATTATAATGTGTCAAGCTGTGGGTCTTCTGGGGTTCATCTTGCTTGGGACTGGACTCTCTATGTTTCCTGGACTTGTGTGACTTTTTTCTTCACCAGTTTAGGGTAGTTTTCTGTCATTATTTCTTCAAACAGGGTCTCTATTACTTTGTCTGATTCTTCTCCTTCCGGTATTCCTATAATGCGAAAGTTATTACATTTTGTATTATGAAAGACCATATTTTGAAATTACTGTTTTCCACAACTTCAGAATGGATGAAACATACAGAAGTATTAGGTCACATCATTACAAAATACTATGTTCTTAGAATATAAAAATACCTTAGAAGTTATATAATCCACTATTGTAAGCAATGATAGCTATATTGTTTCTGAATGTTTCAAGTGATAGTATTCCTTTGACTTTATAAACACAAAATAATACTTTTGTTTAAAATTAGGCATTATAATTTTGATATTCTTCTTCTGATACATCTTCTTTGTAAAGATAGTAATGGCTTTGGAACTAAAGTGCTATAGGTCTTGTTCTACCTGTTCAATAAGTTCTTGACATTTCTTAATGAAGCACTTATTAAATATATATTATTAAAATGTATTTATTCCACATGTTAATTTATTATTAATACTATATACACTGTAATAACAAATTTGCTTGTCTTTGTCACTAGTTCCTGGGATATAGCATTTAAATTTTTAGAATTTTCCAAATGATAGTGATTACTTTGTTGCTTGTGATACATCCTTCAGACTCTTCTTCTAATGTGGTGACTCATGGTGGCTCCTTACATAGTTTATTCTAACAGAGAACTCAAGATGGGGATCTTTCCCAAAAGAAAAATCATGTTATTAACAGGTTTGTTTGATCTCAGGGGAGAGTAAAGAGCTAGAAATTGAGTTTCATCACTTAGCCAATAATTCAAGCAATCATGCCTACTTAATAAAATCCCAATAAAAACTCTGGAAACTGAAGCTTGGATGAGCTTCCAAAGTTAACAATACTCTGTATATTGCCACATATCAATGTGCCAAGTCACTAACATAAACCTGGAGACAATAGAAGCTTTGCATCTGGTCCCGTCCAGACTTCTCCCACAGAATTTCTCCCTTTGGCTGCTTGTGATTTATATTATTTTGCTAAAATAAACCTGAAAGCCTTGGCCAGTTTGGCTCAGTGGTTGGAGTGTTGGCCTGCGGTCCAGAGAGACCGGGGTTCGGTTCCCGCTGAGGGCATGTACCTCTGTTGTGGTTTGTCCCAGGCCCTGGTTTCTCTCTCTCTCTCTCTCTCTCTCTCTCTCTCTCTCTCTCTCTCCCTCCCACTCTATCTGAATGAAAAATGAGGGAATGTCTTTGGGTGAGGATAAAAAATAAAATAAAATAAAACTGAAATCATAAGCACAGCATGTCCTTGAATAATATCATCATATTCTATGTTGTTTCATTATAATGTTGGTGAGATGGAATAGAAATTTAAGTCTTGTTTGTATCAATTAGCCTTGATAAAACTGATTTCATTATACCCTGCTTTGTTTTAAATTGCAGAACCTGTTGATGACATTTACTGAGGATATACTGTACAACGCTTTCCTGAATCTCATGAGCCAATCTAGCAAAATATCACACTGGAGGGGTTAGAAGATACCACCAAATTTGTGGGGTTTATTATTATTATTATTATTATTATTATTATTATTATTATTACTATAGGTTTTTTAGAGAGAGAGGAAGGGGGATAGAGATAGAAACATCAATGTGAGAGAGAAATATCAATCCGCTGCCTCCTGCACACCCCCTACTGGGGATCAAGCCTGCAACCCAGGTATGTACCCTGACCAATAGTTGAACCAGGACCTCTCAGTCCATGGGATGATGCTCAATCCACTGAACCACCCCCGCAGGGCAATACAACCAAATCTGTAAGTAGCTTGAGGATCCCAATACATGTGGTAGAGGTCACTCATACACATATGATTATTATATACATATTGTAGTTTATGCTCTTTCAAGTTAATTGTAACTTGTTGATTTTTACACCAGGCATAGATACTTGCCTGTTTGTTGGATAATATCATAAACTAATACCATAGACCCCAATATATCGAGAAAAAATACTAAGTATATTATTCAGAGTGATGCTATTCTATTTTGAAAGCAAGTATTTCAGTCTGTTTAGTAAACTATTTTATGTAATATATGTTGTCAGAAGTATGACTGAAAATATTTTATGTAATATACAAGTCAGAAGAAATCTGAGACTTAGCCCTACTTGAAAGTTGACAAGTTAGTCTATGCAGTTGGGTGTATAGTCTGGTATTTCTAACCAGACTGCTGAATCAGAAAAATGGACCTTATATTACACAAAAAAACACCAGCCATGGTAACATCTTGGGGCAAGGTTGTTGAGATTCAATCTCACTTGGTAGCACAGTGTCTTAGTCCGTTCAGAGTTCTTCTTCTCCTTCTTCTCCTTCTCCTTCTCCTTCTCCTTCTCCTTCTCCTTCTCCTTCTCCTTCTCCTTCTCCTTCTCCTTCTCCTTCTTCTTCTTCTTCTTCTTCTTCTTCTTCTCTTCTATAACAGAACACAATAAACTGGATGGCTTATAAACAACAAAAATTATCCTTACCGGGCAGGGGAGACATCATGATCCAGAAAGTGGTTTTCCCGGGGCTAGGCTTATCTATTGCACTCGGGATGTGGTGGCCCCTGCGATCTTCCCAAATGTGGGAAACTCGGTTGTGTAATTTGTGGTAGTGGGGGCACTGCGTTCACACTCTCCCTGGGGAGTGAAATTATTTCTCACAATTCTGGAGACTGAAATGTCCAGGTTCACTGGCAGCTGTAGCTTTGGGCTGTCTTCACATGATAGAAGCAGGAAGTGAGCTCTCTGATTTTTGCTTGTTCATTTTTAATCCTCACTTGAGAATATTTTTAAAAATTGATTTTTAGAGAGAGAAGAAGGGAGAGAGAAACAGTGGTCCATTGCCTGTTGTACAAGCTTTGACAGGGAATCAAACCCTCAACCTTTTTGGTATACAAGTGTACAGCTGGACACTCTAACCAGCTGAGACCCTGGCCAGGGCTGTTTTCATTTGTTGTTTGTTTTTATATATGGACATTAATCCAAGTCATATGGGCTTCACCCTCATGTCCGTCACATCTGAAAGGTCCACCTTCAAACATCATGACATCTATCCATTCTCCCCGCTGAAGAAAAGAACAGACTCTGTCTTTAATCTGGAATGTCAATGAATCATCTCCTTATATGAAGAGAAGAAGGTTTCTAACTTTATTACCCTGAAATGTAATCAAATGTGTCTCAGGGTAAGTCATGCCTAAGTTTATTATTACTCTGGAAAGTGAGCCAATCTGCTTCAGGAAGAAGGGGGTGTATTATACTAAAATATGTCCAGTGAATGGTATAATATAGCTCGTAATTGTTTTCATGTGAAGTAAGGCCTAACATGTACAGAAAAACAGAAATAAAGGGAGAACTATCTTTTTGCATTATATTTATACTAGAATCAATTAAGAATTAAACTTAGAGTTTTCCTGGAAAGATTTTTTATTTTTTTGACACCCTATGATTTCATAACATTATACTATTTTACTTGAAATATTTAAGTTCTAAGGATATAATCCTGAAAAACAGTAGTTCAAGGTTACTTCCCTCATGGAACTCACAATATAGTGGCAAAAATAATATATTACATCACAAACAGAAAATTGCCGCTTTAGAAAGGGCTACCAATAGAATTTGACAGTATCAGAAACTAGAGAATGATTCCCTGAGGTACTGATGTTGCTTAATGAAGAATGAATGTAATTTACTGAGGAGAACAGAGACAGACAGACACCCAAGGAGAGAGAGACTGTGCAGTGCTCAGTGGTGGACGTCCTGTTCACAGTCCAGAGCAATCGCAGCAATAAAAGCAGGTGCGATCCTGGTGTGAGAAGGTGTTGCTGTGATAGGGACTATTCAATCTTTTATGATGGGTTGGCTTTAGTTCTCATAAAAACTAAGCCAGGGAGGTGTTTTTAGTGGAATAAAACATATCAGTATATATATATTTAAATATGTTTTTATTGATTTTAGATACAGTGGAAGGGAGAGGGAAGGGGTGAGGGAAGGGGAGGGAAAAACAGTGATGAGAGAGAAACATCAATCGGCTGCCTTTTCCATGCCCCCTACTCGAGACCCAGCTCACAACTCAAGCATGTGCCCTGACTGGGATTGAACTGGTGACCTTTTGGTGCTTTGGATGATCAAGCCACTGAACCACACAGGTCAGGCAAAATATCAGTATATTGATAGACACTTTCGAAAGATTGCTATGGCTGCTGTTTATCAAAACAGAAAAAAGGAAAAAAAAAAAAAAAGATCTGACTGCCAGTATAAATTTATCTCTCAGTATAAGTCCAAGCAAAGTATAACCAAAAAGCAGGGTACAGACATCATTTCATGACCTGGGATATCACATATATTATGATAGGCAAAATTTTAAGACAACCTCAAGTTGCCTGATTCTTATTGTAGTGCCTGTATAATACTTTTCTCTTGAGGTCAGGAACAGTTTGTGAATATGGCAGAATAGGATTAGGTTATAATCAACTGAGTTTGAGTTAACAAAAAGAAGATTTTCTGAAAGATCTCTTATCCTTTGAGACGACATGGAGGGATCTGGAAAGTATTATCCTAAGTGAAAGAAGCCAAGCAGAAAAAGACAAATACCACATGATCTCACTTATATACGGAATATAATGAACATAACAGTCTGAGGAATACAGTAGACCCAGACACATGGAAGTAGGGCACAGACTGACATCCCTCAGAAGAGGGGATGGGGGGTGGGAGGGTGGGAAGAGATGAACCACAGAACTTATATGCATGTATGCATGACCAATGGACATGGACAACTAAGCCGGGGACAGGGTGGAGGGGGGGTGGGGTAGGGGGTGCCAATGGGGTAAAAAGGTAAAATATCTGTAACAAAAAAATAAATAAAAATTCATAAAAAAAAAAAAGAAGATTTTCTAAGTGAGCTTGTGGTAATCAAGTGTGCTCCTTAAAGAGTCTGGGCCCTCCTGTACTCAGGGATTTTAACCTGAGGGACCAATAGAGAGTCCATGTATCAAGGACCTGAGAGTGCCACCTGGGACCTGACAACAGTCCCAATTTGACGGCCAGCAGGAACGTGAGACTGGAATCATACAGCCACAAGGACATGAACTTTTCCAATAACCTGAATGAGTTCGGAAAACGACGCAAGCTGCAAATGATGATCTCTGTCCCAGCCAAGAGGGGGGAAGGTGGACGAGGGTATGGGGGATAAAAGGGTGTGGGGGAATAAAAAGAGCCTTGACCTGGGGTAGCGAACACACAATGCAATATACAGATTCTATGTTGTAGAAGTGTACATCTGAAACCTGTATAATTTTGTGAAAGTGTCACCCCAATAAACTCAATAAAAAAAAATCTAATTCCAGCCCCATGAGAACTGAGAAGAGAATCCGGTTGATCTGGGCCAGGCTTTCATTCACAAAAATTGTGAAATAATACATGGGTGGTGCTGTAAGCTCCTAAGTTTTTAAAAATTTGTTACATAGAGGTAGAAAATTATCGTAATGGCTGTGTGTGTTATTTTAGAAGAAAATTATTATTTTTATTATATTTTAATGATATTAAAAATACTATTTTTTTCAGAGAAAAAATAATGTCCCCAGCTCAATCTTTTTAGACTTTGTCAAAGGAAAGTTGAACGGTTTCCCAGTGATGAAGAAAGCAATAGCATTCATTCCTTTTTGAGTGACACATTAGGCAAATATCAGGCATTTGGTTTGTGAATTGCATAGAAAACATTTCCCAAAGATCTTAAAGACTTGAAAACTATGTGTTAATGACTATGGATGTTCTTTGATAAAATATAGCATTGAAATAAGCCATTAACAATAAGTATAAAGCGATATGAGCCGAAATATTAGACTCTTCTGAAATTATAATTTCTAATCATTATAATGGCCCAATGTTTTAATGTATTTCAAAATGCTATCAAACTTTATCAGTAGTTTAAGCCACTGAGTAAAAAAATATTCAGTATAAAAACAGGAGGTTTCTAAAAACAAGGTATTGATATATTTATATATATAAATATCTAATGTTAAAACATTAACTCAGTCTAGTATTTTGATACTGTGTATTGAAAATTTAGATGTTAAACAAAATTTTAATTACTTACATTTTCAAATGAGGATAATATTTGAGGTAAAACTGTTTTTTCAGTGAATCATCTTAATCACATTACTATAAATTGCTTCTATACAAACAGTCAGAAATAAATGTAAAATAATTGATTAAGTGGTATATTATGCATTGTATAATAGAAAATATTAGTATAATGCCCTTTCTGTTATCACCCTCCACATTAAATATTGCTCCCATGGTAAATGGGATTGTTTTTTTAGTTTCCTTTTCTGTGAGTTCATCACTGGTGTATAATAATGCCATCAATTTCTAGAAGTTCATTTTGTATCCTGCTACTTTGCCAAATTCATTTATTCAGTCTAGTAACTTTTTGATGGAGTCTTTGCGGTTTTCTACGTATAGTATCATGTCATCTGCGAATAATGACAGTTTCACTTCCTCCTTTCCCATTTGTATCCCTTTTACTTTTTCCTCCTTTCTGATTGCTGTGGCTAAGACTTCCAGTACTATGTTAAATAAGAGTGGTGAAAGTGGGCATCCTTGCCTTTCCTGTTCTGAAGGAAAATGCTTTTAATTTTTGCCCATTGAGTATCATGTTGGCTGTAGGTCTTTCATATATGGCCTTTATTATTTTGAGATATGATCCCTCTATTCCCAGATTGCTGAGCATTTTTATCAGAAATGGGTGCTGGATTTTGTCAAATGCTTTTTCAGCATCTATTGATATGATCATATGATTTTTATCTTTCATTTTGTTTGTGTGGTGTATCACATTTATTGATTTGCAAATATTGTACCAGACTTGCATCCCTGGGATGAATCCCACTTGGTCATGGTGAATAAATTTTTTGATGTATTGCTAGATTTGATTTGCTAGTATTTTGTTCAGGATTTTGGCATCTATGTTCATCAGGGATATTGGTCTGTAGTTTTCTTTCTTTGTAGTGTCTTTTCCTGGTTTTGGAATTCAAATTATGCTGGCCTCATAAAACAATTTTGGAAGTAATCTTTCTTCTTTAATTTTTGAAATAGTTTGAGGAGAATGGGTATTAGTTCTTTGAATGTTCGGTAAAATTCCCCCATGAAGCTGTCCAGGCCTGGGCTTTTCTTTGCTGGGAGAGTCTTGATTACATCTTCAATTTCCTTAGTTGTTATTGGTCTGTTCAAGTTTTCTTTCTCTTTCTAGTTCAGTTTTGGGAATCTATATGTTTCTAGAAATTGGTCCATTTCACTTAGATTTTCGAATTTGTTGCCATATAATAGTTCATAATATTTGTTAACATCCGTTGTATTTCTGTGGTGTCAGTTAGTATTTCTCCTCTTTTGTTTCTGATTTTGTGTATTTGGGTTTTCTCTCTTTGTTTCTTGGTGAGTCTAGCTAAGGGTCCATCAATCTTGTTTATCTTTTCAAAGAACCAGCTCTTTGTGTCATTGATCCTTTGAATTGTTTTGTTTGTTTGTTTGTTTGTTTTGGTCTCCATGTCATTTATTTCTGCTCTGATGTTTACTATTTCCTTCCTTCTACTTGCTCTGGGGTTTTCTTTTTGTTTGCTTTCTAGTTCTTTAAGTTGTGAGGTTGGA